TGCAGAAAGAGACAACACATTATTGTCATTCTGGCCATAATTTTTTGACGTCATCAGAAAAACCTAGTTGTGCCGAATTGGCCATCTTAGTCCCTGTTATCAGTGCATGTCAGTGGTACATCAGCTGTCAAAGCATTGGTCAACAATATTTTGTTACGAAAATTTGTAGAATTCCTGTTGTTTTTGTGCGTGGTAAACAAAGAAATTATTGGTTAGTGAGAAGAACTATGCCCGGGTGCAGTGTTATTGGATGTAGCACTAAAAATATTACTAAACCGGCAGGTGTAACATTACATCGGTAAGTACTGTTATTTTTCATTAAAATATCTCTGTTTTTCAAACTATTCAAGTGTGGTTGCTGCAAATTGACTAAATACAATACTTTTCTAACTAATGCAGTGCTTATTTTCATTAATTTTAGTTGAAATACGTCTAAAACAATTTTCATTAAAAAATAGTGATGTACATGATTGTTCCCGTATCGATAATTTTATCGTACATAATAAATGCGTCAAAAGTAGAACAAAGAACTATACTAAATTCTGAATGATAAAGTGCATTAATTTGACATAATGACAAAATACAAAAAACATTAAGTACTCGTCAAAAATTTCATTTTATCGACAAAATTCCACCATCGTCAATACCTACGTAATGTAATAAATAATTAATACAATAGAGAATAATTTTTGTACAATATGAGATAAGGAATAATATTGTGGGAAATGCATTTTTGTCAAAATTGATTTTTTTATCAAATGCCGCTCGACGGATTCAAATGAAACAAACCAATGAAATATAACTTTAGGGTATTTTTAGAGTATTTATTAGAATGTGTCGAACTCTGCCGATAATTTTAATAATATTATAAATTTTCTTTTTAGTTTGTGCTTGAACCACGCAGAAGTTCTTGGCTGGAAATAATTAATGTGGGAAATATAGATACTAGAAGGAAACATATCTTTGTTTGTTAACTTTATTTTGAAGATTAATGTTTTAACCGAACAATAAATTAATAGTAAATCTACGTGATGGGGCCCTATCGCTACAAGCTCTATTGGTAAATCATAATGTAAACGATTCATTATGTGTTTTGTTATATTAGTTTTGGAAGCATTTTTTGAAGAGGTGCAAACTTAACATTTTATTTAACATTTATAATTATTAAGTTCATAAATAACCGGGTTCTTGTATCTATATGTTTCTGTTTTCCTGCGCTATCTATCACTATCATTGTAATGTACAAACATTTTCGTTCAGAGCTTAGTACAGTACCTATAGAATCTATAGAAAAATCTATGTTCAATTGGATCAAGTAAGTTAAATTATACTATTTATGTTGCAGCCTCGAGCCAGATATGTGCATGAAAATGAACTTGGAACCAGTTCTGGAGTCTTTTCGAAAGATGGTTTTGCAGATTACATTACAGGGAAACACTACGAAAAATACGAAGATATTGTATATTGTAAATCTTGATTTTATGAATACTTTGATACAGTTTTATTTTTCAACCCTCAAAAATTACTTAACCTTAAGTATATAAATATTGACCAGTTGATCATCAACAGCCTATAAATGCCCACTGCTGAGCAAAGCCTCTTCTCACACGGAGAAGGTTAGAGCATTAATCACCACGCTTGCTCAATGCGGGTTGGCGATTACAAACTTATAATTAGAAATTATAAGTTCAGGTTTCCTCACGATGTTTTTCCTTCACCGTTTGTCAGTGGTGTCTAAATAATCTTAGAAAGTACATATAACTCGGAAAAAGTCACATTGGTACTTGCCGTTGGTAGGTTTAGAACCCGCACCCTCATGCATGAGAAGTGGGCGCCTTAAACCTCCGGGCCACCACGACGACCAGTTGATGGAAAATCCTTTTCATGAATTTCGATACATATGTAAGTATCGTGAAAGTTATGATGTGAATGTATAGGCACGATCGACTGGAGTGACAGTGCACGCAGCAACTACTAAATATATTTCGCTAATATGTTGGTAATGTTTAGCAGCTAGATAAAAATTAATCCCAGATGAATCATTAAATAATTATATTTTATTGATAAGTCAATTAAAACCAATTCTAAAATATCGATATTTCTACAGTTTTAAAAGTTACATCCCTAGTTCTATCCGCCCTTACAGGTGACCAAGTGAAGTTTATGTAGGCACGATTTTTTCCTAGTTGTTTCTTATCCATACTCTTATCATATCAGTGGCTATTACTGAGAATTATTTAATAATCCCAGCAATGCTTTGCCCGACCCGGGAGTCGAACCCGAGACCCCTTGCCCGGCAGTCGCAGTTGCGACAACTCGGTCAACGAGGCAGTCATTTTTCTTTGTTTTAATATAACTAATATGTGTTAACATTAGATATAATGGTCAAAAGCTGCCTCAATATTGGTATAAGCCTTATATTGTTACCTGAAACTCTAGTCCGTGCTTCTCCCGGCAGTAATCCTTGATGCGAGGGTAGCATTTCGCCATTAATGTATTTCTTTCCATTGTTGTATCTAGAAAAGGAAAAATTAAATTATGTAAGTAACATAACAAATGGAGTGTTTGTTCTTAAAATAAATTGTTCTTAAATAGAAACTACTTATTTACCTACATAATTAATTGATTATGTAGAAAAATTGCAATAATAAACTCATGTGACAACAGTGATTCAGGGATGGGTAGGGGATAATTGGGCCTCTGGCTCCGGTAACCTTACTCACACGACTAAACACAACGCTAGCATTGTTTCACGTTGCGTCGGTTTTCTGTTCGGCCGTGGTATCACTCCGGTCGAGCCAGCCCATTCGTGCCGAAACATGGCTCTCCCACACTTAAATATTTTCATAGTTCAATCATATTTTCATTTGACTATGATTGTACTACGTAGCTACTTGTAAAACTTCCCTTAACGTCATTAACATAATATGACATCATGTCATGTCTGTGACTCGAGGGGAATATTTGGTTTACAGCTTATATAAAACTTGAAATCAATGGTCTCAAAGAAAGAAGAAGTTAAAGCATTTATTTCAATTAAACCATAATTTGACTGCACGGTTGGTGCTGTGGCTGGGTAACCGGCTGCCGTGCAACGTGTCGCAGGTTCGATTTCCGCACAGAACAACACTTTGTGTTATCCACAAATTGTTGTTTCGGGTCTAAGTGTCATTGTCCATGTGATCGTGTATGTTTGTAAACGCACTCACGACACAGGAGAAAATCCTAATTTGGGGCAATGTTTTTCTTACAAAAAATAATAATAATAATTTGGTAACGTCAACGTAAACGTCAACAAATACAAAATAATTAATAGTCTGTCAGTCAGTCCGTCAGTGAAGCTAAGTGAAGCTAGGTGCTCATTCTAAAAATGGAGATTCGAATGGAGAAATACGAGCAAGAAACTCCATTCGTTACTCTTTTAAAAATATGTTCTACAATGTCTCTGATACATATTCCAATATTGTACGAATATGTACAAAACTTACTAAAACGTCTCGCTCTATGTTATGGGATTCATAACTACTACAATCTTCCTTCCTTTTTTACAGTAGATATTTGGAATGCCGAGTTTTCCAATGGTTACAAAAATTGAGCTTGATTGACTTTACATGTTTATTCTACTACCTAATTCAAAAAACATAATTTCATTTCAAATAATCAAATCTATTGTGATCTGCTTCCTCTAATCACCATGCTCTTAAATTGCTGTTCTGACTGTGATATATATGTTTGAAAACACATCCACAGCATAGGAGAAAGTCCTCCTGTTCGGAAACGTTTTAAATAATAAAAAGAATTTAAATCACTTGTTAATAAAGTAACAATGACAAGTTAATACTGCACAAACCGATTGTTTGGAACGTTTTACAAAATCATGAATCGTAGTTAGTAGCGCTAGTAATAACAGACGCTTGTTTCGCAGTAGTATGCACACTGTATAGAGATGTAAGTCAAACTAGATGGCGTAAATCTCCAAAAAAATATTTTCGAAATGATTTTGTTTACGAGTTAACATTATTATCATCAACCGCCTATAAGTGGCCACTGCTGACCAAAGGCCTCTTCTCGCACAGAGAAGGTTTGAGCATTATTCACCATGCTTCCTTAATGCGCTTCCTCATTTCAAAATTGTAATTAGAAATTTTAAGCCCAGGTTTCCTCAGGGTTTCCTCTTTCCCTATATTTTTCTTCACCGTTTGTCAGTATTGTTTAGATAATGTTAGAAAGTACAACTTGGAAAAAGTCACACTTGCCGGTGGTTTCGAGTTAACAATTGAAACTAAATCAGACAACCTTACGTCTGATATGTAGATCGCAAGGAACCGATAGGTCCAACTTTCTTCCTATCGACCAAAATGCAAAGCACTGAAGGAGGCTGTGACGAAGTAGACGTCTAGTGGCTGATTCAATAATGATGATAAGCTATTTTGTTTGGTTAATCAGAATTGAATCTTAAGTCACTAGACTTAAGATGTTGAATGTAAAATTATGATTTAGCTGTCACTGACATAATACTGTAAAGGATGACTGGATCATGGAAAGAAGTGGGTGACAATAGAAAAATGGTGCAGTTTGAAGGAGATTACACTGTAATGGGTGGATATGAGTTGTAAGGGGTACTACTGAACTTTTATGCCCTATCTAGGTAAAATATAACTCAATGATCCCTCGCTATGTGCTATGCAGTCCGTTGACGCAGTCTGTTATGGAATTAGGTCGGTTTCACGCAAACGCTGGAGTGATACTGTGCCAGAAATATCATATTTAATTGTTCTGGGAACTTAAGATGATAGGTTTTGAGAATTCTGAGGTAGATGAAAGTGGATGAATTGTTATTAGATCGGAATTAGTAATAATCGTTGTCTTAGTTGTGGTTTGTTGGATTTAGATGGAAATATTTGACTCGGAGTATAGTTTTGAAGTCAAGACAGTGAAGCAGAGTTAAAAGTTGGTACTACCTTCTCTCTTGCTCTTCCCATTGGTGCTGATATTATAACTAAACATATTGCTTGACTTCGAGTTTCCTCATTATAAGAACATATCCTTAGCAGGTGAGGTGAGTTAGAGATCTCAGTACAAAATGTTCAGTTATCAATAAACACTGATGCTCCATCTCTATCAAAATGATGAAATTTTATTTATTTATTTATATACACTTTTACATCTCAATCATTATATTATTAGATGAGGGCCGGCATTTCGTAACTGACTACTCTTAGAAGAAATACCGAAACAAACTCAGTGGACATTGTCTCTTGCATTGCAAACGTTCCTTACTCGTCTTCTTGCAGCATTTACAGGAAAAGTCATCATCAATAATGACAAAATGTATTCTACTCTAGTTATCACCCCACTTCTCTAAAAACATTATTAGTAGAAACTAAATCCTCGTTGGCCTAGTTGGTCGGGCAAGGTGTCTCGGTTTCGTTTCACGAGTCGGGCAAAGTACTACTGGAGTATTTAAAAAAATCTCAATAGTAGCACGGAGTCTGGAATTGCACCCGGTATATGGCAATAGGCTCACCCCCTATTACATGGGACTCATAACATAAATAGTAAAAAGTGGGTGTTATATTGTATAGTGGCATAATGTGCACCTCTGCCTAAGTGAATAAAAAACGTCTACGTAAAAGGCGTGATGTTATGGTATGTGATGTAAAATCCTAAATTATGCAACAGTACACCAGAGGCGTGCAAGCTTCGAGTTTCGCACGCCACTCGTGGAGTGTTGGTGACAAGTGGACTGGGGTAATGCGGTGCTTTGGTACTTTGTAGTGCCTAGTGTCTACATGGCCATTGTACACCTGTTCCAGAAGCAGAACAAACGTTGTTAACGTTGTAAACCTATTTGGAAACTGTTTGAAGCTTATTTGGAGATTATGGATTCGAAGAAGGTAATTAAAATTATTGCTTCTGCTGTTTTAAGGGGTGAATTCTTTGTTAAATAATTTTACCAATAGTTTAGACTGATAATGAGGATTTTTTGATTCATAGTTTTGATAATCCATTCGAAGTAATAAGTATTAAGCTCATCTCATTGCTTCGTCAAAGTGAAAATTATTTATTTCAATTAGTATATATTTGTACCAATAGTTCTATCTCTACAAGTTCTTTGTAAAATGACAGAGATGGCACGATATTTGAGCACGACTTAAAATTGAGTAACGTTTCAGTATTCCAGCATAAGAAGGCACTTTTGAATGTTACACGATGTTTATTCTTTCCTATATTGAAGATTTAATCAAATGCCTACCTATCTTTGGGATCGTAGGATCAAAATAAATACTATATAAGTACGTTACAAGGACACACGGCCACACATCAATCTATACAAAACCAGTTTATCCTGGTATCGCGTCGCATCATCTTTCCGCACATTTAACGTTCAGTTTATACTGGTTATGTAAAGCTCGATTCGTAGATGGCTACACAATATAACAAAAAGGAAATCTTATTAAAACTTAATTGCGTAAAACAACATTTCAATGAAAACTTAAAAATCTCCAGGTAATCGAACAAAATCAATGCAGTTTTTTTTTTCTTATAAACCACAAAGTAACTAGGTCAAGTAAAATTAAATTTTACGAAAACCGATCACAAACTCCTATCTGATGATTCGGCGTTAATTAAAAGTTGTTCATTTGAAACTTCCCCGCTCCCCCCAAACACCCCTTCCCCCCAGATGTGTTTAAAATTGCATCTGAACACGAATCGCCAAAGTATAGGAAACTCCCGATAAAATAAATTATATCTTCTAGATTAGTTTGGAAAGTTAATATCGAGTTTTCTTTTTGAAATCCATTGATGGAATTGAGGAAAATCGTTTTGTATGATTTGATTATATTTATGAACGTTCAGATAGTCAGAAAAAACTACAGGACAAATCTTATATCTTATATCTTATACTATTATATAAAGCAGAGTTTTTATTTGATTGTTTGTTTGTTTGTTTGAACGTGCTAATCTCCGTAACCACAAGTCTGATTTGAATAATTCTTTCTATGTTGTATAGCGCATTTATCGAGGATGGCTATAGACTCCCTATAAAACATCACGCTACGACCAATAGGAGCTGAGCAGAGCGTGTGAAACCGCGCAAAAGTAGCTAGTAAATAATATTATGTCCTCATAAGTTATACCCCTTATAAGTTATAGCAATACAAATGAATAACACATCGGTTTTGGAATATAAAGGGGGGGGGGGGGATGAAAGCTTACTGCGCCAACACGCCAACGAGCTAGTTTAAAATTGCATTCACTCACGAAGCACTGAAGTTTATCAAATCTAGCCTATTTTTAGCTTTCCTAGTGCTTTAAAGCCTTGAAATATATAGGTGTATGTCGCAATTTAGATGACAGATGGACGGAAAGGAATGCAGACGTCTGCATAATAGCACGATTTGGGACTGGTCAGCTCCAGACTGTATGATTTTATGGTCCTCAAGGTTATTTTCTTTTTCAATCTCTTTGCCTGCATCTAGGTGTTGCATTGTTCTCACACAATCGAACCAACAAAACTATGTAACTGGAGAATTGTATTGTAAACCCGATTGAAAAAGAATAACCTATGGAGTTTCTTGCTCGTTCTTCTCCATAGGAATCTACATCTTGGAATGAGCAACTAGGTTCACTTCTAATTTTTTTTTGTTGTTGACGTTCAAAAGTGCCTTGCTGATCTAATTGAAATAAATGATTTGGACTTTGACTTTGACTTTAGCAAGAAATCAACTTTTATTTTAATTAGACCGATAAATGACTGTATTTTTTAAAGGTCTTAACTGATGGCTCGGTTTGAAAGACCATGCCAAAAGCACAAGTATAAATTAAGTAGAAAAGATACATATATAAAACTATGGAATAAATTCGACATAATCTAATATCAAGGCCTAAAAACTTTATTCAATCTAAATTTAATTTATTTTATACGACTCAAAAATAATGAGTGCTTCGTTGGCCAAGTGGTCGCGGTCAAAGAGTCTCAGTTTGATTTCAGGGCCGATCAAAGTATTTCAAACTCAGTAGTAGCACGGAGTCTGGAATTGTGTCCGGTATACGGAAATAGGCTCATAACATAATAAGATAGGAGTCATAATATAAATAGTGAAAAGCGGGTGTAAAGTAGCAGTAATATGCACCTTTATCTACACCTTCGGCAATAAAAAAGGCGTGATGTTATGTTAAAACTTAATAGGAAATCACGCTAAGATATACTTCCTAGATCTCTGAAACCACGCTGCAAGAGTACTGAAACATTTTGAAAGGCATCCTGTAACGCTAGCTGCTGTAAATATGCCTGAAATAATTCAGACGACGGAGCAATAACTTCTTACAGTAAACTTGTTACTGAGAATAGCTATTTATAAGAACAACCTCAAGTTAGGACTGGTGCAATCGTAATACTGTGTACATTCACAGTTTTATTGTACCGGAAGAGTATTTTTAAACTTGTGGTCTTTAAAGGACGGACATTCTAGTGAGAATATTAGGGGGTTTTAGACTTTAGTGGTGAGTTTACTGCACTGTAAGACTGCCTTGATGGCCAAGAGAAAGTAAGTGTGACTGCCGCGCGGACTCTGGGTTCGATTCCCGTGTCGGGCATCAGTACTAGCACGGAGTCTGGAATTGTGTCCGATATATGGCAATAGGCTCACCCCCTATTACATGGTGAAATAGTGAAAATCGGGTGCTACATTGTGCAGTGGCATTAAGTGCCGTAATGTGCACGTCTAAAGGGGCAGGCCCTTTGGGGACAAAATTCGTGACGTTATTTTTTATTTGTAAGTTTAAACTATAGGTAGGAGATAGATAGATGGAGAAAGACCTGTTTTTCTTTTATTTTCTGACAATGTCATCGTTTAAATTCCTCCATTCAGACTAGCGATTTCAAGTAATTGCGAAGTCAACAAAGTAGTAAGTTATCGAAAACTTGAGTAACATCACATCAAATCGGGAAAATGTCCACTATAGAACGAGTCAATTGTTTCACCCCCTATCTCACATATATTTTTTTTATATATCCTTGTCTTTGACTGCCGACAGAAAACTGTTGAAGGCAAATCTTCCGCTACCTACGTAGGTCACCTGCGACCTATGTAGCGGTTAACGTGTTAAGTGGCCAATGCTGACGAAAAGGCTTTTCTCGTACAGAGAAGGTTTGATCATTAAACGCCACGCTTGCTTAATGTAGGTTGGCGATTTCAAACAAATTATATTACAAATTATAAGTCCAGGTTTCCTCACGATGTGTTCCTTCACCGTTTGTCGGCCCCCTGTTTAAATAGAACTATGATAATATACACAATCTCACGCCTGTTTCTCATGGGGTTAGGCAGAGACTATGGAACTAATAACAAGACGAATAATTAGAAAAGTACAAACAAAGAAATGAAGAGTCCTTACCTGTGAAGGTGGAACTGGTGAATATTCTCACGATCTTGGAGCTGACTGGTGGTAGCAACTTCAGAGAGCCGCTGAAGATCAGGTCCACCGTGCGGTCATCCATGGTGTAAGATGTTCAGGGTTTGGCTGCCAGAAAAATTATAATTACTAACAATATTCAGATTATGTTTTAAAAAAATCTCAGTAGTAGCACAGAGTCTGGACATGTGCCCGGTATATGGCAATAGGCTCACCCCCTATTACATGGGACTCATAACATAAATAGTGAAAGTGGCATTAGGTGCCACCACGTAATGTGCACCTCTGCCTAGCCCTTCGGGGATAAAAGACGTGGTGTTATGTTATGTTGTGTTATTCAGATTGCAATTACAGATGTCGTTAATTATGGTAAAGATATTTAATTTACATTTTGAATTTTTGCACCCAACATTGTGTCATGACGTTGTCTCTTATTGGACTGTACTGGGTATGCTTCATATTTCTTCTGAGTACTTTGAGTACAAACAATCAAACGTCACATTTCCGTCTATCGGATCCTGAACCTCATATTTAGTAGATAGTCTTGTTTGATGACTTTTTGATCATAGTTTCCAGTACAATCAGTCAAGTCTTTTAGTTTTTTTTTACTATAAGGAAATGAAGACTGATTCAATTATTATATATACATATACATATTGTATGCTTTTGATGCTCTTTTATTAATTTGGATAATTGCCACTATCTCTCATAACATAACATTTTTGCAGCTTGACAACTTACCTACCACATACTTTTTTGCTCTACCCAAAGGATGACTGGCAGCGAATTCTGTTAGAATTAAGCCCTCCTTACGCAATTGTGTAAAACTTAAATAAACAAATAAATAAAGAGACAGAATGGGGTAGACGACTAATTTTTATTTTAATGTCCGTCTGGTAGATTATTTAAAAACATTAGACACGTATTTTTTATTTTCTTACGGAAACGAATAGTTTCGAAGATATATTGATTTGAAATGTCGCGTGACGTCACTTCTCAGTACATTTTATACTAAGAAATGACGTTTTAGCCCCCACTCCTAAACTTTGATTCGTTTTATCTAAGTATTGTTTTATTACACAACAAAATAAAAAAATACGTGTCTAATATTTTTTTTTTACCTAAGTTACGGACTAATTATATTTTTAATTTTCATACCCTGTCATCATCCCCATTTGTCAACTCATCAAAATTGATACCGCAGTTTACGAGTACACGCACTAAATGCATAACAAACAAACACACTTAGTTATATTACTTAGAAATTGTCAACAATAAACCTATATTCTGTAGAGGTGAGGCTTCATGTTCCATTATGCGACTGCTTGCGTTTATTTTCAGCATTTCGTGACTTCAGTACATAACTACAGCTACTATAATTCAGAAGTATTTCAGTAAACAAATAATATTATTATTTACTAGCTTTCCACTTGCGACAATACCCGCGTGGAGTAGACAGTTGATGGTAGAATGGTTGTATTGTGCCAGGCAAGGGGTCGTGAGTTTGATTCCTGGGTTGCGTTTTCTAATTTTCTCAGCAGTAGTATTAAGTTTCTATTGATTCTGCAGGAATATCGAGATTAAAACTAACTAGTTAGGTACCCCTTAAAATGTAATTTAATTTGTAGGATTTTCAGTTGCGATTATTTCAAATCGGTCCCTAGTTTTGAAGCCTGTTCAATGCAAACAAACAAACATTCAAATTATATTTTTAAACCTTATTAATAAATAAGGAAATCCTCCAACGATCGCGTCGCACAGGTCAATTTGTTATTGCCTTTCAAAATAATTGGATCCATATTGTATTCATTTGATTAAAGCACGTTTATTATATCAATATACAATTTATGATTATGTAATGTAGGATTATAATGATATTGCATCACGCTTGCTATTTACGATGGGACAGATATATTTGTATCACTTAATGCTTTCAAAGACAGTATCATCATTTTATTATATTATCAGCTATAAGTCATCCACTGCTGAGTCTAGAACTTCCCTAGTTACTTCTAAACTCTGTTCCTACTTAATTTCTAGATTAGAGGTAAGATCGGAAACTTAATAATTATTTGGAAAATTAACAAGACTTCGTGTTGTTATTTCTTTTTATGGGGTTAGCCAGTAAACGAGCAGGCGGATTAGATCGTAAGCAATGGGCGTCGGTCATGGACACCTGGAACACCAGAGATATTACAGGTGCGTCACCGGCCTTTTAGGGATTAGGAATTTGAAGATTGTTGAGAATTTAGGAATTGGGGTAATTGGGCCTCCGGTAACCTCACTCACACGACAAAACTTTACGCAATCATTGTATCACGTCGGTCTGTGAGGCCATGGTATCACTCCGGTTAAGACGGCCTATTCATACCGATGCATGGGTTTCCTACACTTATATCCCTTTTTAATAGTACTTTGTGATCAATCGTCTGACTTTAATGTAATACTACAAATAGCCATGAAAGAGAAACTAATCCTTTACTTTACCTACATCATACGAAAATAGCAATGATTTTTCAAACAATACACCATAATAATAATCCCTTAATTTCATGCATCTAGTTCAAACCCCATATTTATGCTTCGTGCATTTCCCCTTCAGCAAACTTGCTATCATTTTATATCCATATTTGTAGATACCGTTACGTCATTCAAAGGGGACCATTTGCATAGTTCTAATGGAGAGGGAATGGGTCATTCCCATGTAAATTCAATTCTAGGGACACACGAATAAGACATGCTGTCATTTTCTGGAATTAGGACGAATACGAGGATGGTAGTTCAGCTTTTTGTATGTATGATTATGTTTTAATTGAAATATTTACAGTATTTGTGGGGTATGCGTTGATGGCTAAAGGCAGGCTACGTCGCTGGAAGGTCAGACGGTCTGAGCTAGGAAGTGGTAGAACGGTGACCACGCACTGGAAGATGTAACGCTGGCAGGTGTCCTTTCAAGATGGACCAATGGCTTTAGTAATGTCATTATGCAATGCTTGCAGACAATTATTGTTTAGTTTTTTTGTTCAGCAGTCGATGTCTTCCAATATTTTGAAATACAATATAAGCGTTGTTTTACGGCGGATTGCCCTGAGGCTAGTTAGTAATACGAATCTATATTTTGTCTGGTCTTCACTTAAATTCAAAATAATAATTATTTTATAAACGACGTTTAAAAAACACCAATTTAAACTGTCAAACACCAAGCGGTCACCGGTGACCGCAACCTATTGTTCTATAATTGTGTCTACAAAGACGGTACTCCACGAGTTAAAACCTCTATTTTTTGAAAATCGGTTAATTAATATACATTCAAATCTTCTCCTAAATACAACAAACACTTTTCCGAAAACCGCATTAGAATCGGTCCAGTTAATTGCGAGATAAGCCCACACAAACATACATACATACTGATCAAATTGAGAATCTCCTCCTATTTCTGAAGTCGTTTAATAAAGTCTGGACTTTTTTGTAATCTATTCACTTTTATAACTTAAACCAACATAAATGCTAAACAACATAATGTAAGGTTAAACAAGACAGGTCCACCCTCGCGGTCAGTTTAATTCATTTAGCTATATCTTATCTGTTACCGATAGCGGTAACTATTGATGTGGTGCAATTATTGACCTGCTGATACCCTCGACATGGCGGCACGGTTCTAATAAGGAGTTGCTCATCTAGATTGGAATTAGATTGGCGTAAATATTTGCAGTTACAGTACATTTATCACTACCTAGATATAGTACGGGTCCTCTTTCTGCCAGCCGACAGCCGATTGTGGGATTGTACAGTTAACAGAAACTGGGCAGATGAGAGAAAGTGATCCAACAGAGAACCAAAGTTATCGACATAGCCCAAACGATTAGTAAGCTGAAGTGGCAGTAGGCCGGTCACATTTGTCGAAGAACTGAAAACCGTTGGGGTAAACGTGTTCTAGAGTGGAGACCGTGTCTAGGCAAACGTAGTGTAGGGCACCCTCAAGGTGGGTGGCAGTTAGATGAGAAGAGCTGAAGACCGAGCCCAGTGGCGTACTATTGGAGAGGCCTATGTCCAGTAGTGGACGAATACGGGCTGATGATTATGATGATGATGGACAGCAAAGCTATTTGATAAATGTGAACTTTTTAAATCGCTATCTCCAGCCACCTGTCATGCGAGATAATGGCAGACCCTTGTTATTTAGAGACCCAGGTATATAGTACAGTAGGACTGGTTCAGGCTGTGATACATAGCAATGAATTTAAAAAATAATCTTCAATACATAGTATAAAACAAAGTCGCTTTCGCTGTATGTCCGTATGTATGCTTAGATCTTTAAAACTACGCAACGGATTTTGATGCGGTTTTTTTTAATAGATAGAGTGATTCTTAAGGAAGGTTTGTATGTATAATACATGCATATTGCACCCGTGCGAAGCCGGGGCGGGTCGCTAGTTCTATATAAGTATATTCGTTTAGAGACATAAGAAATGTGTGTTTTATGAATATACTTCTACAGTTTCTCAACACACACTAGCAATATAATATTTATGACAAGACGACCCATCTTTAACACATCAGTGTCCGTTTGTATTTCTGTCTGCCTCGTAAACCCGATGAAGCGTGAAGATCTTCCTGTCATATAGAAGTAAATAAAACAAATGTATGTTTCAGCTATGTGTGAATGTTATTAGTAATGTAAAACGTTTATTTAAATAATTTGATGATTTGTATCTTTAGTATGGTTAAATTGATTTCTAGTGCCTCGTTGGCCGAGTGGTCGCAAGTGCGACTGCAGGGCAAGGGGTCTCGGGTCGGGTAAAGTATTACTGGGATTTAAAAAAAATCTCAGTAGTGTCTGGAATTATGCCCAGTATATGGCAATAGGCTCACCCCCTGTTACATGGGACTCATAATATAAATAGTGAAAAGTGGATGTTACATTGTACAATGGCATTAAGTGCCGTAATGTGCACCTCTGCCTACCCCTTCGGTAATAAAAGGTTATGTTATGATGTTACGATTTCGAGTCTGGTTGCTTGTAGTTTCGAAAATATAATCATGAAGTTAGTATGAAGTTAAGAATTTGAGTACTGTTGGAGGAAGAGTATATTACATAACATCACGCCTTTATCCCCGAAGGGGTAGACAGAGGTGCACATTATCCCACTGTACAATGTAACATGTATCAATGTAAATGTATGTAACAATGTAACGGAAGAGTATATTCAGGTTTTTATTTGATTAAAGTTTTATGTAATAAAGGGATCGTGTGAGAAGTTCTCAAAATAAAAAAAGGCAATAATACTTTACCGAGACGAGGTAGGAAAACTAATCTGGTAAAAGAGGGTATTTGATTCAGTAACCTTTGTGAATATTATTGAATTTAATTGTTTCACTTGTTTCACTTGTTTCACTTGTTTCACTTGTTTCACTAATGGGATTTACCGTTAAACAAGCAGACGGATCACCTAATGGTAAGCGTAATTTATTTATTTATTTATTTTTAGAAAATGTACATATACAACACCACAGCTTACGCCATTAAGTTATACTGTTAAACTTATATATATAAATGCTATTATTTAGGTACTTAAAAACAAACTAATTAGGTAATCAAATACAAGAAATAAAACGCTTCACGATTTTGCAATCGGCGACGCCCATGGACACCCGGAACACCAGAGGCGTTACGAGTGCGTTACCGGCCTTTTGGAGATTAGAAATTTGAGGATTACCTATTGGGGATTCAGGGATTGGGGAGATTGAGCCTCCAGCCGAAACACAACACCTCTGGAAGACGCAAAGAAGAGTTTTAGTAGACCGATGCTAGGTGAGGAAGAAGATAGAGCGTTTTCCTTTTAAAAAGCTGGCAACGCATCTGTGACCGCTTACCATCAGGTGATCCGTCAGCTCGTTTGCCTCCTATTCCATAAAAAAAGAAAAATAAAAAAAATCGTTTTGTAAACGACGAAAGACTAAAAATATAATTTAAAACGAATACACGTTACAGGTTTAGACGTATGGGCATCGTAAACGAATATGTTCGGGCGGCCATCTTTGTTTTATGAGTTAAACGTAATAACATTACTAGTTTGCGGTGTACGTTTCCTGCTGGTCCACTCATGCGCATTTCATATTTATTGGATTTCTGAACATATGTCGTGGTGGCGTTTTAGTAAGTAGGTAGTAAGTGCGACTACTGTGTAAGGACATTTTGATTTTTGTGGTGACTTAAAGGTTTTTTATAGTTTATTGAATTGTTTTTTTTTATATTAAATGGGACTGATATTTGACCGCTATCTGGCCTGGTGGTAAGCGATGATGTTGCCTACGATGGAGCACGTCGACCCATAAGCAACCTATTCACTCGGGCCTTGAAGACACCCAGAATTCCACTCCTTAGCTGTATGCACAAGGAAATTATTTTTGAATTCTAAAAAAAATTAAATTAATTTAAATTTAGGGTCTTTTAAGAAGTTTGGACAAACAAACTGACACGTTAACCATAGTAGAACTACTCATAGCCACCCTTTACTCCCTTAACTCGAGAGGTTAAAACAGCATTGTCGGCCATTCAAAAAGATAATTCATTTATAGTTTAAATTACCCGACCTGAAAATATTACTTCTGAGTCTTTTTGTCTGACGTGATTTTATTTATTAACTCTTTAATGCACACAAAATAAGGTACATAAGGCGAATTTAATGAAATTAAACCTTTGGGTTAAATATAGAATCAGCGAAAATATGCAAAAAAGAAAACAAAATAAATAACTAATAGTTATTTTTTTTATGGAATAGGAGGCAAACGAGCAGACGGATCACCTGATGGTAAGCGATCAGCGCCGCCCATGGATACCCGCAACACCAGAAGAGTCACAGGTGCGTTGCCGGCCCTTTAAAAAGGAGTACGCTCTTCTCTTGAAGGTTTGAAGGTCGTATCGGTTCGGAAATACCGCCGACGACAGATCATTCCACAGTTTTGCTGTGCGAGGCAGGAAGCTACGTGAGAACCGCACAGTTGTGGCCTGCCAACCATCTATATGATGGGGATGCATATGCTGTCGTGAGGGTCGATGGCGAAAAGATGCGGCAGGTATCAGGTCAAACAATTCCTCAGAGCACTCCCCGTGGTATAAGCGGTAGAAAATGCACAATGAAGCTACATCTCTACGCATTGCCAAAGTGTCGAGCCGGTTTGAAACATCCGGACATCCAACAATCCGAACGGCACGCCGCTGAATGCGGTCCAGAGGAAGAAGTTGGTGCTGGGGTGCCCCCGCCCAAAGTTATTATAAATACTGTATAATATGCTGTATAAAGATGTGTAATAAATACAAAATATGTACAACATTGATTTTCCTTTGAGTAAAACACAGTAAGGTATATTTGAAAATTGATTTCAAAATCAGTCAGTGTACCCAATAGCTGCATGAATATATCACAAACTTATCAGTCCCACATAATCCGAATGTCAGAAATGACTCACGCGCAAGTAATCAAAGTTTCATTATACACGTTATCGCATGTTAATTAATGTGTCTCGCGAAATGTACCATCAAATTCTATTCTGTCTTATCATATTGGGTTATGTACACAGATTTACTCTGCTCCGCTAATATTGGACAGTTACTAAGCTTATTTTAAGCGTTACTTTCAACATTTTCAGCGAAAAATGTAACGACTATTTAAAAAAAACAATAACATTGCCCCACACTAGGATTTAGAATCTCCTGTGTCGTGGGTGCGTTTACAAACATACAAATTCTTACTTTTCATACACAATGACACCCAGACCCGAAACAATAATTTGTGGATCACACTCACAGTGTTGTTCCGTGCGGGATTGGAACCCTTGTCACTCTGAACGGCAGCCGGTTGCCCAGCTACCGCACCAACCGTTCAGCAGTGCACCTACGTAAAATAACTGACAGCCATATTGGTCTACTGACCGCATGTGCAATGGTCGTGGTTTTAATTCTTGAGTCAGGCAAAACATTTTAGTAGTACGAAGAAATGGTTGGGATTGTGCCCGATATGAGAAATTTGACATGGTAGGTAAGGTACCCAGACGGAGCCGCGGAAGACTTAATGAGTTGCCGGGGCTCCGGCTCGAACTGCAGGAGTAGGAACGGGGTGGTTTTTAGTCAGTAAGAGTCTGACACTCCCTCCCGCCTCATCCGGGCGGGAGAAGTCATTGGATGATGTCCCCCCCTCAAAAAAAAAGGTAAGGTACCCATGTACCTACGATGTCAAAATCCCATGACTTTGTGACCCATAACATGATTGGTGAAAAGACAGTGTTACATCATATTATTATGACGTAATATTACTTATTAAGATTTTGCTATATTTCATTTCCCAATGAATTATCCATCCTACTGATAATTAATCAGCGCGGATGCAATTCATTAAAAATGTAAGGTTTGTAAAATTAAATTTAGTGTTTGATTTAGGGCCGATTTTACAATCATCAGTTAATTCTTCACTGTAGAATAAAAATGACAGTTGACATTTTCTAGTATGGAAGAATTGTCAAAAATCCAAACTTATTCCTCAGTTAAAATTTATCTGAGCATTAAAAAATCGGCAATTAGAATAAAATTTTTAGCAGGATACTGTGATAATCAATACATAGTATAAAACAAAGTCGCTTTCGCTGTATGTCCGTATGTATGCTTAGATCTTTAAAACTACGCAACGGATTTTGATGCGGTTTTTTTAATAGAGTGATTCTTAAGGAAGGTTTGTATGTATAATACATGCATATTGCACCCGTGCGAAGCCGGGGCGGTTCGCTAGTGAATTATAAAACATTGAACATTTCCTTTAAAGAAAGACATTATAATAGAAATGCAAAATATTTTAAAGCAGTCTCTACCTTTTAAAGCCTGAAATTTTGCCTAATGTTAAGCACTACCGCCATTTCCTAAAACTTAAATGGTGACAAGAGGATGTACTTTTTAAGCCTCATCTTCAGTAAAAAGGCGTGATTATGACATTATGCAACACAATCCAAAAATTTGGTACTTTCCTTAATCAAAATAAATAATACTGACTGTTCAATAAGATAAAATATAATAATATAAAAAAAATCACATTTTCATTCATTGATTTTATGACCAACCAAAATAATTTTAGTATTTTTCCAGTAAATTTTTAAGTATGCTGTTTGATGATAAAGAAACGTGACGTCACAATACACAATCTCGTACAAAATTCATAGAAAAACGTTTTTGACAGTTCGAAAAAAGTATTGAATTTGACTAGTTGGCAAGTACCCGATTCCATAAGACGTTCTGAACAATAAAACTAGGTTATATAACAAACTTAATTACTAATACAATGCCTAGCACTTACCTTTCAAAGAAAATCCAATCGATACATCAGAAGGTCATGAACAACACAGCTTTCACTTTCAAAACGATCCCCAAATCGATTAACGGACGGATTTAAAAACGAATCGATACCAAAACCGATTAATCGGAGTGAATTTTTTCTTAATTCGATTTTTGTATTTTCAAGACGTGTTCTTACACGGAAATATTTTGGTGAACTGCTTTGTGTCATGGATAATGAAAACTTGTTATCCCGTTGCTAGGCAACCGTCGCATGCGATTGTCGACTATAAAATGTTATGACGTCATCGATTCTGATCGAAAGTGTGAAAATATGATTTTGATTTAAGTAGGTAGATTGAAGTTTGCTTGTGATCCAGTTTATGGGGTTTAGGCGCCATATTTATCTGGTAATGTAATATTTATTGTGGTGATTGACCTGCTTTTTAATTCTGGGATAAATTTATGTATTTTGACTGTGTAATTTATCTGTTAATTCAGGTATGTTTCTTACTTTAATATAATTTGAAAACAATGCAATTTAGTCGTAATATTTTTAACAAATGACTAAGTACTGTATTGATAGGTAGATCGGTTTTGTTTATTAATCTTCTTGCTCTCAATATCATTTAACTTTAGGAGGCTGTATGCCTCCATCTTCAAGTTACTTGCAACAACCCGATACACGAAGTAGTGTTTAAAACTATTTCCAATGCATGAAACTTTAGGGAGTACCTAAATTATATTGTAGGTAATTAAGATCTCTCGTCGTAGTGGCCCGGAGGTTCAGACTTCCTTTGCATGAGGGTGCGAGTTCGAAACCTACCAACGGCGAATACCAATGTGACTTATTCCGAGTAATATGTACTTTCTAAGATTATTTAGACACCACTAACTAACGGTGAAGGAAAACATCGTGAGGAAACCGGGGCTTATAATTTCTAATTGTAAGTTCGAAATCGCCAACCCACATTGAGCAAGCGTGGCGATTAATGCTCAAACCTTCGTCGTGTGAGAAGAGGCTTTGCTCAGCAGTGGCCACTTATAGGCTGTCAATGATGATGACAGACAACTGCTACTTGAAAAATTGTAAGAAATTGACAGAAAATGACTACAAAAGTCTTCGATAGTTTTCACACATTGCCTGAAAACTTTCAGTATGATATGATTTACTATTGAATGACGTCACGAGTCACGATCAGGACCTACTAACAATGATAAACAACACAAAGGCAATCCATTAGTAACGTTGTATGCACGGCGCACCTTACTGCGGCTGTTGGGTGGAGTCGGGTGCGGTGTTTGCTGTGAGCGGTAGCGGGTTTGTCGTGATGATGTTGTTCGTACGTGGGTAGTGGAAATTGGGTATTACTGAAGTTGAAGTTGTTTTAGTTCAGCATTGTTAGAAAAAAAGGCATGTTTCTGATAATGAATTCGTAGATATAGTTATATAGTGAGTTTCAATATAAGTTGCAATCGAATTATGAGAAGTAATTAAAACCTCCTTACTAAAAGATAAATATTAAAAAATAAGTCATTAGCAGCTAGAATTTTAAGCTATAATTATAATTGTATTATCACCTAAAATACTATCATCAGCACAGCGACTTACACATTCATAAATGTTACTGAAAATTTGTAAGAATGCTGCTGTTCGTCTTTTAGAAGTTAGTTGTGATTTTAAGACACATGTGGGTCAAATTGGTTAGATAATAATACCCACAAGCGAGTAATTTTCATCATTTAATAAAAATAAATGAAAAATATTCATGTGTTCTATTACCTACTGAATAATAACAATTTTATTCTTCTACATTAAACATTATTAGATATCACTGTCATTAAAACATATTCTCTTTTCCCAATTCAAATATTAAACTGCAACAATTAAACTAAATAAATTGTTCTGCAACAAAAATAAGACCAATATTTTAACAAAACGATTGTCCCCAACGATAATACTAGGTAAACCTAACAATGAGAGAGCCCTAGAGCTAATCAATTACATTACAGCGCCACACCTAGTCTCGTGGGTGCAGCCCTGGCATGATGGTATAGTGGGTGGGAGCCAGTATTGACGCACACGCTACTTTGTAGCTAGGTGCCTTTATTTATCGCTGTTCAAGCGTTTTTTGTTTTGTTTAATTTGAACTTATATTCGTTGATTCTTTTTTTAAAAAGATGTTCGTTTTAGAAATTGGTGTTTTTGTTTTTAAACTGTCAAACACCAAGCGGTCACCGGTGACCGCAACCTATTGTTCTATAATTGTGTCTACAAAGAAGTTTCGGATTTACTATGAAGGTGATTTAAGTCAGTGTGGTGGAATAATAATAATAATAATAATAAATTGTTTATTTTATAAAAAGGAATCGGCATTGGGAGAAGCCTATTTTTTATATATATTTGATGGGCCGACGGTTGACCGCTATCTCGCCTGGTGGTAAGCGAAGCCGGGGCCAACGATGGATCACATCGTCCCATAAGCAATGAATACACTCGCTTTGAAGACACCCTATTGTCAACGCTACAGTGATTTTCTTATAGTGCATAGGATAAATAATACAACAACTTCATAAAGAGACGTGTTCTTTCTTAATAAGGAATGCTTTAAGTGAAGCTGCAGTTTATCTGATCGTTGTCTATTCATTTGCACATTTAATTAACAAATGACATTAATCGTTCTTTCTGATAATAATAAAAATTCATGACTATTATTCGTGTCTGATTTGATATTATTATATTACATTATTGGATTGACATACTAATGATTTATAGAAATTGTAATTTTCTAAACTACACCACAGTTTCAAAATCGCTTCCGCTTATACCTTGCACCAGGCCACAACGGAAGCGTGTCTATTTTAACCACGATATGTACCTGCTTTTCCACGATTAGACTTTAGCATGCCGAGTTCCGGTGCGGGTTCGATTTCCAAGCGATGTTGCGAATTGATGCCTGCTGTAAGATTTACTACCAATTGGAATTATTGAAAGTGTGAATGGATTTGTGTTTTTAGTTTATTTTTGAGATATTTATGGGATTATTTGGTATTCTTGGTTTCTGATCTTTATATTATTATTTAGTGAAGTCTTTAATACTGGTTTCAGAGAAAGTGTAATAGGTACATGGAATTGAATCTCCAGTATTAATTAGTTTATATTTTTCTATGTAATGATTAGATTTTTCTAAGGATTCATTAAACTGTCAAATACCAAGCGGTCACCGGTGACCGCAACCTATTGTTCTTTAATTGTGTCTACAAAACCGGTACTCGACGAGTTAAATTACTTTTTCCAAAACTTAATATGTTGATTTGAGCTGATGAATTATGGTTTACCTAGAAGCGTTTATATTTATTTCTGAGTAATTCTACCTTTTATGTGGAAATCACTTTGCTGGTTTTTAAGAGTATTAATTACGATTTAAACTAATATTAATATTAAAAATACAAATAACTGAAAACTAAAATATTTACACCGTAAACTTACCTTAACTCGTACACAATCACCTGATATAAATCCCCAACATTTTTTCATACAAAAGTAGTCTCTAAACATCGGAAATAAGGTCTGTAATGGAGTTAATGGAAAGCGGTGACTGGTGACCGCTTGGGGATTGATTAAAAACAATTATATAATAAAAGATTAAGGCATTAAAAAAAATTTCCTCTTCGTTATTGTGAGGTAGGGTACCCAAAAGACTGGCAGCATTGCCACGTTGAATGGCAATGCTTAACCTTTGCCTAAGGTACTAGCCAGCCTTTCGATCACCCGAAGTGTCAACCATCCTCCTTAGTAATTCTTAGTATTGAGTTTAATTACTTGTACCTATTTGATTGGGAAAGCTTCAGTAACATCACGAAACTTGGATCATCTCCAGAATGGGGGTCAACGAGCAGACGGATTACCTGATGGTACGCAATCAGTGCGACACAACGCGTGCGTTGCTTCACGTCGGTTTTCTGTGAGGCCGTGGTATCACTCCGGTCAAGCTGGCCCATTCGTGCCGTAGCATTTCTCTCCCACAGTTAACTCGTCGAGTACCGGTTTTGTAGACACAATTATAGAACAATAGGTTGCGGTCACCGGTGACCGCTTGGTGTTTGACAGTTTAAACGAAATATAATATGCAATATTTTACATCATTAAAATATTACAGGAACAATAACAGCTAAATAAAAATATTATAATCTCATCATTATCACCTCTTTCGGACATCCAATGTCTGACCAAATCAAAAAGCTATAAAGCTGTGTAATTCTTTCCTATTGAAGATGACTAAGCGTTTGTAATAGAGGGTAAGCAGAACCCCAAGTTAATACTAATGTGTTTTGTAAGGTGTGGTTGTATTATGGAGACTTTGGTTTGGTTACTGTATTGTAGAGGTATTATGTGGGTTCATTTTTATAGTTATTGTTTTTAGTTTTTTATTGTGTTATATCATCATAACTTTTCTAACATAACATTATGCTTGTTGGTTGAATGGTTGTAAGTACGAGGGGTTTCGTGTTCGCTTTCCGAGTCGGGCGAAGAAAAAATGAGCATTATTACAGTTTTAGAAAAATTCTCAGTATCTAGTAGCACGAAGTTTAAAATTGTATCCGGTGTATGGCAATGCGCTCACCTTTTTTCAATGAAAAGTCCTATCATTGTATAAGTATATGCACTTCTCTATCTATGCTTTGAGGATTAAAAGTAGTGATGTTATTATTTCTACAACTTTTTGAGAAGGCTTCTCTAGCTAGAAAGACCATAATCTTCCCGATTTAACATTACCACTACAACATACACATATTTAAAGAAAAGGTACACCTACCCTGCTAGGGGGCCATCCCCTAAACCACCGTAATAACGTAAATCACGTTTACGGTACACGTAAATAGTTAATTTGTTAATTTACTTTTACGGTCTAATGAATAGGTAGATACGGGTGAAAAGATTTTTTGCTTTCTTTTCTTTCTTTTTGTGGGTAAAAAACCACATATATTGCAGATACTTTTTTAAGGGAAGACCATCATCGAATAACTTCTCCGGCCCGGGTGAGGCGAGAGGGAGTGTCAGAGTCTTACTGACTAAAAACCACCTCGCCCGT